GCGGGCAGAGGGGTCAGGGCAGGACTGGGGAGACCAGGCTGAGGGATCAGGCCATGATGGGGAAGCCCCTGGGGTTGTGGGAGGCTGGTCGGGGTGCCGGCAGCATTTTGACTGGCAGCATTTCTCTTTCTGGAGTCAAAGAGAGAAAGGTTGGGGTGGATGTACAGGGAGTACTGTCTTCCGGCCCTTCCTTCACCCTAGCCTGCCTTCTCTCCCAGGGACGGATGCCCCAGCCGTGGTCAACTGTCTGCACATCTTGGCTCGCTCCCTGGATGCCAGGTCGGGTTATGGGTCACGGTACCCACTCCCACCTAATCGCACCCTCACCCCTAGCTCCTGTTCGCCTCAAAAACTAAAAAAAAAAACCAAACCCTTTGCCATCCAGCCAATTCCAACTCATAGCTACCCTAGTACTCTATAGCAATCCTACAGGACAGAGTAGAACTGACCCATAAGAGTTTCCAAGGAGTGGCTGGTGGATTCAAACTGCCGACCTTTGGTTAGCAGCCAAGTTCTTAACCACTGTGCCACCAGGGCTCCCCTGTTCTCAGAGACTCTCTGAAATCCAGAGTCTCAAATTCTAGAACTGAGGTCCCCCGGCTTCTTTCCTAGGACGGTAATGAAGTCAGGCCCCGAGATCGTGAAGGCTGGCCTCCGCTCCTTCTTCGAGAGCGCTTCGGAGGACATTGAGAAAATGGTGGAGAACCTTCGGCTAGGCAAGGTGTCCCAGGCGCGGACCCAGGTGAAGGGTGTGGGCCAGAACCTCACCTACACTACCGTGGCCCTGCTGCCTGTTCTCACCACCCTCTTCCAGCACATTGCCCAGCACCAGTTCGGAGACGACGTCATCCGTAAGGGCTCCTGACCCCAAGGACGGGGGTGGGAGGTGGGGGCAGTTCAGCCAACACCACAGTTACCCATGAGCCTGATAGAAGCCTCAGGTGTTTGAGGGTATGGAGTTACTACTCTGCGCAAACTGTGCATTCAGTAAATTCATAGGGAACAGAAGGAGTTAATTGGGGTATAAGTCCAGCGGCTCTCAGAAAAGACCCCAAATCACTGTAGCTTAAACAAGATAGAATTTTTTGTCTTTCTCATGTAACAACCCACTTGTAAGTGGCTCAAGGTGTCAGAAGTCCAAGTTCCCGTTATCTTGCTGCCCTGCCATCCCTGAAATGTTGCCTTTATCCACATGGTCCCAGTTGGCTCTCCATGATATCCTCATTCTAGCCAGTGGAGAGGGAGAAAAAGGAAAGAGGAGGGCCCTTCAATGCTTTTAGTGACAAAGGCCAGTTAAGACTCAGTTTAAGATTGTGGTTATTGTTAGCTGCTGAGGCGAGTCAGGCCCAACACATGGTGACCCCCATTCACAGCAGAATGAAATGCTTCCCAGTCTTTCTCCATCCCCACGATTGGTTGTAGATCGAACGGTTGTGATCCATAGGGTTTTCATTGGCTGATTTTCAGAAGTAGATTGCCAGGCCTTTCCTCCTGCTCTGTTCTGGTCTGGAAGCTCCATGCAAGCAACACGCAAGTCCCCACTGACATACGGGTGGTGGCTGTGCCTGAGGTGCATTGGCCAGGAATGGAACCCTGGTCTCCCACACGGAAGGCGAGAATTCTTCCACTGGATCACCAATGCCCTCATTTGGGTCTTTAAAGGAACGGTCTGAAAGTGGCCCACATCACTCTGTTTATATCCCACGGACCAGAACTTAGCATACGGCCACACGTAGCTGCAGGGGAGGCTGGGAAAGTAGGCTTTATTATGGGAAGCCACGTGTCAAGCTAAACATTGGTAGTCACAGCTCTTTACTATAAGGAAGAGCAGACATGGAAGGACAATGAGCAGTGCCGGTCATGTTTATGGAGCCCTGGTAGTGCAGTTAAAATGTTGGCAGTTCATATCTACCAGCCGCTCCTCGGAAACCCTATGAGGCAGTTCTACTCCGTCCTATAGGGTCACTATGAGTCGGAATCTACTCAATGGCAATGGGTTTGGTTTTGGGTTTTGGTCATGTCTGTGCTACCATCTAGCACATACAGTGTGTGGCCCACCATGGGATCTCGTGACATCATGCATAGTGTTGTTAATCAGACACTGGCAACATGAAACAACCCCCAGTGGAATGTCCTGACCTTGTGTATACAGGTACTCAAAAGAGCCTCATAAGGTGTGGCCTGGGCCAGGGGGAGTCATGGGCAAGACGGGAAGGGGGCAGTGGGAGAGACACTTAAGAGCTGAGGGCTGTAGGGGTGATGAACTATGGCGACTGGTGGATGGCGGAGACAAGTCTGAGCTCACTGTTTATTTGAAAATAGACCCTCTTGATAAAGATAAGAAACGTAGCCCCTGGATGGAATTCTTCTCCTCTACTCCAACTTTTTTTCTTGAACACTTCAGAACATAAAGAGAAGATGAAACAAGAAGGTTGTTAACAATTTGCCCCATTTGCTTTACCTTTTACTTTATTATTCTTGTTAGGCGCCATCCAGTCGATTCCACAGGACAGAGTAGAACTGCCCCCGTAGGGGTTCCAAGGAGAAGCTGGTGGATTCCAACTGCCGACCTTTTGGTTAGCAGCTGAGCTCTTAGCCGCTGCGCCACCAGGGCTCTTTTTACTTTATAGGTGAAAGCATTTACACAATTGTTTGCTGAACTTTTGAAAGTAAGTTGCACACACACCATGTCAACTCATCCCCGAATATTCAGCCTGCAGCTCCTGGAATACGGACCTTCTCTCGTGGGACCACGATATCATTATCACACCTAACCTGACCATATTTAAATTTCCTCCATTATCTGCAAAATGTCTTTATTATTATTTTTTTCAAGCCAGAATCTAGTCAAGCTTCCCACATTACATGTGGCTGTTACTGCTCTGTAGCTTCTTAAATCTAGAACCACTCCCCTCCTTTATATCTCAGGACAGTTGTGGAGTCGATGAAGCTCTTCACCTGCCCTTGTGGAGGGGTCTGGGGATGATTTAAAATCGTAGTCAGAACTGCATGTTATTTGCGTTCTTCCGGAGAGAGCACCCAGCACTTCCGCGGAAGAGGTCCGTGACTCCTCTCCAAGGAAGAAGCAACAACCAGCCATTGTAGCCTCCACCCATCCGCGAGTTTGTCCTGCTGTGGTGGTTTGTGTGTGGCTGTGATGCTGGAAGCTATGCCACTGATATTTCAAATAGCAGCAGGGTCACCCATGGTGGACGGGTTTCAGTAGGGCTTCCAGACTAAGACAGACTAGGAAGAAAGGCCTGGTGATCTACCTCCAAAATTCAGCCAATGAAAACCCTGTGGATCACAACAGAATATTATCCGATTACCAAGATCATGAAGATGGAGCCAGACCCGGCAGTGTTTAGTTCTGTTTTACGTACGGTCGCCATGCATCGGAGCCAACTCAATGGCATCTTAACAACAACAAGCCATGATTGAGTGCCAACTGTACACCCTGTTCTAATTTCTTTTCAAATATTAATTCATTTAGTCCTTACAACAATCCAGTGAGGAAGGTACAAAAATTATCCGTTTCACAGATAGGGAAACTGAGGCCAAGAGTTGGTACTTGCTCAAGTCACTCAACTAGTAAATGGCAGGCTGGTTGTACAGCCCTTGCTTTTACCCTCTCTTAGAGCGAGGGGAGGAGCCCTGGTGGCGCAGTGGTTAAGAGCTCAACTGCTAACCAAAAGGTCAGCAGTTGGAATCCACCGGCCGCTCCTTGGAAACCTTATGGGGCAGTTCTACTCCGTCCTGTAGGGTCGCTATGAGTCGGAATCGACTCGACGGCATTTTTTTTTTTTTTTTTTTAAGAGAGAAGGGATGGGGTGGGGGAGAACTGTTATGGCGGGTGCATCTCCCACCCTTCCCCTTCCTCTCCCTCAGTGGACGACGTCCAGGTCTCTTGCTACCGAATTCTGTGCAGTATCTACTCTCTGGGGACCACCAAGAACATTTACGTCGAAAAGTAAGGCAGTAGAGCCATAGTTCTGGGCTGGGGTGGGGACCCTAGGGGCTCAGGAAGGGGAGAGGAGAGGGGAAGAAGATGCGGCGGGCCGGGCACACTGGGGCAGCTGCTGTTCCCCAAGGCAGCCGCGTGAGGGCGCTGAAGCGATAGCCGGCCATGGGGGTGGGAAAGCCGCCAGCTCCGGGCGCTGGCTGGCCAGGATCCCAAGCTGCACCCTACTGAGGATCAAGCTTGCCCCGGCAGGGGGCACGCAGAAACAAGGGCGGCACACAGGAGCCACAGTACACTGGTGGGCACCCCGGAAACCCCTGGCAGTGCCCATGCGGGCTTTCAGGGGACAGGATCACCAGCGGAGCAGGGATCCCTCAGGAAGCCTGGGGAAAGGCCATTTACAAGAAATGTAAAGTCTTCCAGATTGCAGCAAGCTCGCACTGGGGAATGGCAGCTCTGTCCCAAAGGGCCCTGGGGAGGGGCACTTCTGTGGAGGATGGGCTGGGACCCAAGACCTGGCCCAGGGGAGGCGTGGAGCTAAGCACAGCCCCCTCTTCCCGTGGAGCTAATCACAGCCCCTCTTGTAGGCTGCGGCCTGCCCTCGGGGAGTGCCTGGCCCGGCTGGCAGCGGCCATGCCGGTGGCGTTCCTGGAGCCTCACCTGAATGAGTATAACGCCTGCTCGGTGTACACCACCAAGTCTCCCCGGGAGCGGGCCAGTAAGTTGTGCAGGGACTGGTGGGTGGACAGGGGTTACAGTCTATCCAGCACAGGGCCCTGGGGAGACCTTTCTTAGGTGGCAGTGTGCCCAATGTGGGCTGTGAGGAGCTGAGGGTCCAGGTTGAGGGTGCTCTAGATTGGGGGATCTCAGAGTTTATAGGTGCCCTGGTTTGTGGTGTGAAGGCATTTGAAGGCTATTATACGAAGGATTCAGGAATCCTTGGTGGTGCAACTGAAACGTTGGCAGTTCAAACCCACCCAGAGGTGCCTCAGAAGAAAGACGTCCAAAAGGTTGCAGCCTTGGAAACCCTACAGAGCACTGTTCTACTCTGTAAAACATGGGGTCCCCGTGAGTCGGAATTGAGTTCATGGCAACTGTTTTATATACAAACCAAACCAAACCCCTTGCTGTCGAGTCGATTCCGACTCGTAGCGACCCGATGGGACAGGGTTGAACTGCCCCATAGGGTTTCCAAGGAGCGGCTGGCTGGTGGATTCGAACTGCCGACCTTTTGGTTAGCTTAACCATTGGGCCATCAGGGCCACATATATATATGTAATATATATATTACATATATATATAAAACCACTGCCATTGAGTCGATTCCGACTCATAGTGACCCTATAGGACAGAGTAGAACTGCCCCCTAGGGTTCCCAAGGAGCACCTGGTGGATTCAAACTGCCGACCTTTTGGTTAGCAGCTGTAGCATTTAACCACTGCGCCACCAGGGTTTCCATGTTTATGTATAATTATGTATGTTTTTATTATGCACAATAATATATATGTCTCTCTCTCTCTCTCTCTCCATATATATATATATATATGATGGGTTGTATGTTTCAGGGGACTGAATTGGGGCATGGGATTTAGAGAGAGATTTAGGGGCAGGGGTTGGAGGGGGTTTCTTCTAGGGTATGTTACATGGCAGGGTGGGGGAAAGGGTTTGGGGTGTGGGAGATTTTAAGAGTGAAGTTTTCCAGGGGTGGTGATTGAGGTTTGGATGAGATTTTAGGGAGCAGACAGGCTTGGGGGTGTGAAACATTTTGGGGGTCACTAAGTTTCAGTGTGAAGGTTGGGAGAGGTAGTTGGGTTGGAGGGTGGGGTCAGAGGAGGGGGAGTGGGGGATGGCGGTTCCGTGGTGCTGGGTCAGTGGTGGGTGGGTGGAGGTTCAGTGGTGCCTAACCCGCTGTGGGGTCTCGGGGAGACTGAGTTCTGAGGATGATGGGTTGGCATGCCCTGAGCTCTCCCTGTACCCCAGTCCTGGGGCTCCCCAACAGCGTGGAGGAGATGTGCCCTGACATCCCCGTGCTGGAGCGGCTCATGACAGACATCGGGGGGCTGGCTGAGTCGGGGGCCCGCTACACAGAGATGCCACACGTCATCGAGATCACGCTGCCCATGCTCTGCAGCTACTTGCCCCGCTGGTGGGAATATGGGCCTGAGGCGCCCCTGCCCGCCAACGCCCCCCTGCCCTGCACAGCTGTCACCTCCGACCACCTCAACTCCCTGCTGGGGAATATCCTGCGAATCATCGTCAACAACCTGGGCATCGATGAGGCCACATGGATGAAGCGACTTGCTGGTGGGTCTAGGGTGCTGGGCCTTTGGGGCTGAGCCACTGTCCTAGGGGCTGGGGTCCCTTGATCAGAGGTTTGACGTCCCAAGGTCCATGGTCTCCTGGGAGTTGGGAGGAGTTAAAAGTCAGAGTGTAGGTTATCTCAGGGTCAAGAGGCCAGGGGTTGTGGCATGGGGTCAGAATTTCTGACTCCTAGGGTCCTGGGAGTCCTCCAGGTTGGATTCTGGATTTCTGGTTTAGGTCAGGGGTTAGGAGCCGGGTCAGAAGCCTGAATAAATCCTTAGACAAAGAGTCAGAGGACCAGGTCAGGCATCAGGGCCCCTGATATGGACAGTTTAGGGTTTTAGGTCAGAGATCAAGAAATGGGTCTTTAAAGGGTTGGGATTTTCTGGTTCAGAAGTTTCGTGTCAGGAACTGGGGTTTGGGTCAGGGTCAAGTTAGAGATAAGGAGCTGGGACTGGAGGTCAGGGTCAGAGGTCAGAGGCTGAGATCAGAAGCCAGGGATCATAGTCGGAAATCATGTCGTGGGGTCAGAGTCTGGGTATGGGCCTGGTCAGAGGTGAAAGTCTAGGGTGAGAGGTCATAGATTAGGGTAATATATCAGGTTAGGAATAGTTGTTGGGAGTCAGATGTCTGGGACTTGTGTCAGGCTGGGGTCAGATAATTGGGACTGGGTCATAGGTTCAGGTCAGGGGTCAGGGGTCATGGGTTGGGATCAGAGTTCAGGGGCTATGTCAGAGGTCAGAGGATGGAACCAGATGATGGTCAGGTGGTGGGTGAGAGGCTGGCCGCAGTGAGTGGCCTCTGCCCGTGCTCCTGCAGTGTTCGCCCAGCCCATCGTGAGCCGGGCCCGGCCCGAGCTCCTGCACACACACTTCATCCCAACCATCGGGCGGCTGCGCAAGCGAGCCGGGAAGGTGGTGGCCGAGGAGGAGCAGCTGCGCCTGGAGGCCAAGGCCGAAGCCGAGGAGGGCGAGCTCCTGGTGCGGGATGAGTTCTCTGTGCTCTGCCGGGACCTGTACGCCCTCTACCCACTGCTCATCCGCTACGTGGACAACAACAGGTCGGTGTGTGCCCAGTGTCCCCACACACTCCACCCTGACCTCTGGCTTCCCTGCACCCCATCTGACCCCTTACCCTCTTAACTGGCTATAAACTTCTTCGGGTTCCCACCTGGCCCAACTCAACCTTTTGACCTGCCATCCTGCCCCTCTGGCTTTTGCCACATTCACCCAAAAAAATCCAGCCTTGTACCCCGGGTAGTGTCTACCCTAAGGAGCGTGCTGTTTGCCTCCAGCACTGTGTCTGTACGCAGTGGGTGTCTGACTCGTGCAGTGCATCCCAGTGGTCAAACCTTCCTTAGTCATTGAGAGAAGAAAGGAACACAGCCCAGATCTGGTCAGCCTCCTTTTCCCTAGAAATATAGAACTTTAATAAAAGGACAAGCACAGGTATCAACCAATTGCTAAATCTCTCTAAAATCAGGGGAAAAAACCCCACTGCCATTGAGTTGATTCAGACTCGTAGCGACCCCATACAGTTTCCGAGGCTGTAAATCTCTATGGAAGCAGACTGCTGCATCTTTCTCCCGCAGAGCGGCTGGTGGTCTTGAACCACTGACCTTTCGGTTAGCAGTTGATCACTTTAACCACTGTGCCACCAGAACCCCTAAAATCAGCACTGTGTAAAGAATTATTAACTCGGAGGGACAGTCTAATCCAGGGGTGGTGAATAAGTTTCAACTCCCTTGCCACATTTCCATCCTGGTGGGAAAAGACTTTAAGATTGCACCAGGGCTTTGTGAGGAAGGGTGCTCTGATTGATTATTTATGTCTGTCGTGGGAGCAGAGATGGGAAATAGTGGCATGCACGCAGCCTAAACACCACTCCAGGTGTTGATTAAACTTGAGCTGTTATCCATTGCTACTTAATTTAGCCACAAATTTTGCTAGCAGATTTATACTTAAATAACTGTTGGCTCACCCTCTACCTGTTCTTAGAGTCAGAAACCTTCTAGAAATCTTCAGTTTTATAGGCACGTGAGGTCGCCGTGAGTTGGAATCATCTTGATGACAACTGATGGTGGTGGGTGATGTCTGAGGGAAATCTCTATTTCCTCCCAGGTCTGTGAGCTTGGTTCTGGCTGGTTTCTCCCCTTATGTCTAAGCAGAAAGGGAGGGAGGTCGGATGAGAAGACTTGACTGGGATGAGTCTGCCAGCCAGTGAGAAAGGCTTTTGTGGCAGCCCATGTTACCTGTTCGCTCCTCCACTTCCCCCCACCCCCTTTCTGATCTTTATGCTTAAACCAAAACAAACCTGTTGCTATAGAGTCAATTCCAACTCATAACGACCCTATAGGACAGGGTAGAACTGCCCCATAGGGTTTCCGAGGCTGTAATCTTTACGGAAGCAGAATGCCACATCTTTCTCCCTCGGAGTGGCTGGTGGGTTTGAACCACCGACCTTTTGGTCAGCAGCCGAGAGCTTTAACCATTGTGCCACGAGGGCTCTTTCTTTAAGCTTACCCATTGTCATCCAGTCAATTCCAATCACAGTGACCCTACAGGACACAGAACTGCCCCACAGGGTTTCCAAGGCTGGAATCTTTACGGAAGCAGACTGCCACATGTTTCTTCCATGGAGTGGCTGGTGGGTTCCCACTGCTGACCTTTCAGTTAGCAGCTGAGCGCTTAACCACTGCACCACCAGGGCTCCTTTTCTTAAGCTTAAACCAGTTGCCGTGGAGTAGATCCCAGCTCATGGCAACCCTATAGGACAGAGTGGGACCGGAAAGGGGAATTCCGTGGTTGGCTTAGACCAGTCAAGATCCAGTTCTGATTCACATAGGAGAGGGGTGCATGTTGAACACAACTGAGCTTCTGTTAACTCGAGAAAAGGGGAACAGCTGTCATGCAGGCAGCCCAACAGTGTCTGCTGTGCAGTGAGAACGGGCTGTTTATCATTCCCCTAGTGCTGGGCATTCAGTGTGCCCATTTCTCTGTCATAACGCAAGAGCTTTTTTTTATTTTACAGTATACCACAAAAAAAAACACTCAGATGCACCTCTTGCGTCTTAATGGCGGTATACATTCTGTGCAGTTGGAGGTTGTTTATTTAACCAATCCCCTCCAACTGACACTCACGTTGTTGCTGGCTTTTCTCTGGTACTAACAAGGCTGCAGGCAGCATCCTTGCACGTCCATCTCTGTGCACATGAGTGGGTATTGCTGTCGGGTAAGTGTCCTACGAGTGGGATGGCGGGGCCAAAAGAGTATGAACAAACTGCATGTTCACCCAAGGGAATACCACCCAGCAATCAAAGCGAACGAACTGTTGCGACACAGAGCAATGTGGATGAATCTCATAAAACATGTTAAATGAAAGAAGCCAGGAAAATAATACTTTAAAAAATCGAGTACATATTATTCTACTTGTGTAAAGATTGAGAATAAACACAAATAACATGTGGTTCTAGCTGTCAGGATAAGCGTCATGGTTCAGGAGGAGGGAAGTGGGGTGACTGGCTGGAGGGGGCACAAGGTGACTTCTGGGGACTGGATATGTTCTGCTTCTTGACCTGGGTGGAAGTTACATACGTGTGTTCCTTTTGTGATAATTTATCAAGCTGATACTCAGGAGCTGACACTTCTTTATACGTACATTTCAAGAAAAAGAGAAAAAAGAAGGAGTAGCCATTTAAAATTTTTAAATTTTTATCTGAATAGCCAGATGACCCTAGAAAACCCCATTCTTCCCATTGGGTGTCTCCTGGTCCTCCTGACCCCCTCCTTCCCTGGGTACCTCCGCCCCCAAGCCCTCACAGACCCCTTCCCCCCACGGCCCAGGGCGCACTGGCTGACTGCACCCAACGCCAACGCGGAGGAGCTGTTCAGGATGGTGGGCGAAATCTTCATCTACTGGTCCAAGTCCCACGTGAGTCTGGCCCTCACCGCCCCTCATCTCCATAACCAAGGAGCTGCTTCCCACAGGTGCCCAGCCCCCACCACCCTGTGTGATCCCAATACTGCCTCCCCCACCAGAATTTTAAGCGCGAGGAGCAGAACTTTGTGGTCCAGAACGAGATCAACAACATGTCGTTTCTGACGGCTGACAACAAGAGCAAGATGGCCAAGGTAGGTGTTTTGTTCTGGAAGGAGGACTTTATAGGGAGGCGGGGGGCACCCTCCAGGGCCTCCTCCCTGTCTCCTCCTCGCCCGGCCAGCCTGCCCTGTCCTGGTCACATCCCCTGCAGTCCTCAGAGCAGCCCCTCTCCCCATCATTGTCCTCCTTCCCCCATCACTCTCCTCCTCCCCATTTTCCTCTCCCCTCCTCTCACCGTCTCCTCCCTCCTCCACCCTGTTTCTCCTTCCCTTATGCCTGCTCTTCCCATCTTCACCTCATCTTTCTCATCCCTCCCCCCACCTCTTCTCACCTCCCTTT